CTCGCAGAATTGTTTCGTTTTTGATGCTGCCAAGTTCAAAAATTGAGGATGTCTCGCAGAATTGCTTCGTTTTTGACGTTGTCAACTTCAAACATTGAGGAAGTCTAGCAGAATTGCTGCGTTTTTGATGTTGTCAAGTTCAAAACTTGAGGATGTCTCGCAGAATAGCTTCGTTTTCAAGCTTCAAGATAGACAGGTAGAAAGATAGACAGACAGACAGACAGATGGAGAGATAGATGGATGGATGGATGGATGGATAGATAGGTAGATAGGTAGATGGGGAGATAGATAGATACATAGATAGACAGATAGATTGATTGATAGATTGATAGCTAGATTGATCGATTGATAGCCAGATAGATAGATAGATAGGTAGATAGATAGATAGATATATAGACAGATAGATAGATAGAGAGACAGCTAGATAGATAGATAGATAGATAGGTTAGATTGGATTAGATTAGATTAGATTAGGTTGGATTAGATTAGATTAGATCAGGATAGATAGATAGATAGATGGCTAGATGGCTAGATCGATAGATAGATAGATAGATAGGTAGGTAGGTAGGTAGGTAGATAGTCAGAGAAAGAGAAAGAAAGGGAGAGAAAGAGAGGAGATCTCAACCACCTGTCGGTCCATCAGTGGCTTTGCTCTGCCATCCGCGATTCACAACAACCAACCTCTCCTATAGGTTTCCTATTTCTGAAACTTCCACCACCGCCTTTGGCGGTACTACTGGTATAGAGATATATAATGATAGGTGTAATGTAATAATGATATCTTTAATATATAGATAAATATTATAGATTAATTGTAATAGAGGTATGATATGGACATATGGCCACCTGCGCGTTCTTTGGTGGAATTTCAGGGCTATACCGAAAAATGTTGACCAGCTGGCGAGCTAGTGACTGGCCGGTGGTTCCAAGAAACGGCTATCAGCAGGGGAAAAACCTCCCATAAAAACCATGTTCGATTCGTGGAGGCTATGGGTCTTGACTTTTTTCAAGCTGTTCAGCACTGAAAGTGTCGATCCGCAGTTTCCAGGAGTCGTGTATGAAAATGGAGGCTATGGGTCCCCCATTTTGCCATTGCTTCGTCTGCGGTCCATTAGATGTCTTCAACGACGTGACGCAGCAGGTATGACCATCACTACTATGCCTGGAATCACTGGGCATGGTCGAGCGCTCAGAAAATGGCCACCGGATAGCAGGTATCAAGATTCTCATAGAGATTAGTCAATCCGTTTTTGGTGTAGTTAAAATACGTTTGACCCATATCCACATGACACGGGCACAAGGCATGGAAGGATTGGGGGTTAGTTGGGTACCACGGTAGCACCAGAAGAGGTGTGGAACCTGGATCAAAAGTTTTGACCACAGGCTGGATCGGCAGTCGCTGGAACATGCTCCAAAGACTGCATCTTGGCATGGACATGGACCAAAGGTTGGGAAACCTCGTGGGTCCTGGTTTTATTGCTGGTATTAAATTAGTGTGTGGTGAAGGTTTCTCTGCCTCTTTGATCAATACTCATATGTATCTCTACATCAATTGTCTTAATTTTAAAATTTGAGAGAACACGAGAAAAAACGTTGGATATTCTCGCGGGGTCATCATTGGGACATCTGAAACATCATGAAACATCTCTGTTTCGGAAAACCTGACTCCAGAATTTCTGGGTACAACCTGCTCACATCCAGTCTAACCAGACAACACGGCGAAAGATGTGGTTGTTTTGGATCTCGTTTCCGGGCCTTGGTCGCTGATTGGAATCCGTTTCACCGAGGGGGCGCTGTTGCAGATGGACTTCCCAAAACTGGAGACTAGCTCAGAAGGGCTGCAAGGGGGGATCAAGCGCAGGGATGGTGTTCATTATCATCATTATGTCCTTCTTTTTCTTCTTCTGTTTCTTCATCCTGTTGATCCTCATCCTCATCCTCAACCTCCTCCTCCTTTTTCTTCTTGTTCTTTTTCTTTTTTTTCTTCTTCTTCTTCTTCTTCTTGCTCTTCTTCTCCTCATCATCATCATCGTCATCATCGTCTTCATCTTCATCTTCATGTTCAACGTAATGTTCATCGTCATGTTCATTTTGTTCATCTTCACCTTCATTTTCACAAAATGTAGGAAACTCACTGGCGAAATGAGGGTAGTATAGCTGACAGTGAGAAAGCGATGATAAACTGATGCTGTTCCATCTCTCACAGTTGACGCTCAAACATTTGCCTGGGGTCAGGCTGCCAACAAACCAAACGAGAGGTTCAGCCACAATGCAGGGATGCAATACCACTGTAGCTCATTCGCAAATCAGACCATAGATGCCATAGATATCATGAAACCCTGTGAGATGGGAATGGTGAGCAACGGTAGTCAGAGGATGCCATGTCGACACATTGCAGTTCTTAGGCGTTTGCCACTCCGTCACACTATGGGCTTTTCCATCACAGGCACCCAGCGTCTTCCGATGGGCAGCAGGATTCAAGGGTTTTTGTGGAGTGTTTGAAGGGGGCATATGGATGGAATACTCAAGCAGATTTGCATAAAATTTCTCAACTAGTTGACTGGAATTCTCCTAGTTCAGCCACTAGAGATATTCTCATGGTTGGTGAAGCACTGAAGTCTCCTGGCAATTCGGCTGAGCTGCTTACAGTGGTCTGCTGCTGCAAGTTGCTTTGAACTTGACATGACTTGACTCTCCCAGCGTTCACCCAACAACTGCATATATCAAGGGCAAGCAGTTGCTGCACCGCTGGCCGGGTGCAGACGCGCAGTAGGGGCGTCCTTGGGGCCAACGCATCATTGATGTATGACAGCAAGGCTAATGGGCTATTGCGCTTGCTGGGGATGAAGGCTGCACTACTCGGAGGCACAGGGCGTAGCCCAGAGCTTCCGGTGTATTGTGGTGCAGCTGTGATGTCGAGTCGACTTTTCACATCCCCGGGCTGGAAAGGGAAGGCCACTCGCAGAATTTATCCTTGGTGCTGAGTTCTGAGTTGGTAGCGTAAAAAATCAAGACAGTGACGAATCTGAGTTTTTCTGTTTCCGGTGAAAACTCCTGCAACTCATGCGGTGTGGACCTGTGATGCGCAGAAGGCACTTCGATGTGTTGTGCGTGCCGGCTAGGATCCTGATAGAGTGGTCTGTTATGCTGTGCTTACTGATTACCATCTGTTACGGATTGTTACGGTGTGTTATGTTGTATCCATGTTCATGCTGAGTGGAGGATTGAACCCCTTGATATTTGTATGATGCTGAGACAGTACTTGATGCCATGAAATGGCAACTCAGCCAGAGCAACGTTCACCCAACAACTGCATATAGCAAGGGCAATGCACCGCTGGCCGGGTGCAGACGCGCAGTAGGGGCGTCCCTGGGGCCAACGCATCATTGATGTATGACAGCAAGGCTAATGGGCTATTGCGCTTGCTGGGGATGAAGGCTGCACTACTCGGAGGCACAGGGCGTTTTATCCTTGGTGCTAAGTTCTGAGTTGGTAGAGGAAAAAATGAAGAAAGTGGGTCAAGACGGAATCTGAGTTGTTCTCTTTCCGGTGAAAACTCCTGCAACTCATGCAGTGTGGACCTGTGATGCGGAGAAGGCACTTCGATGTGTTGTGTGCGCGCAAGGGTTTGGCTGGCTAGGATTCTGATAGAGTGATCTGTTATGCTGTGCTTACTGATTACCATCTGTTACGGATTGTTACGGTGTGTTATGTTGTATCCATGTTCATGCTGAGTGGAGGGTTGAATCCCTTGATATTTGTATGATGCTGAGACAGTACTTGATGCCATGAAATGGCAACTCAGCCAGAGCAGCGTTCACCCAACAACTGCATATAGCAAGGGCAATGCACCGCTGGCCGGGTGCAGACGCGCAGTAGGGGCGTCCTTGAGGCCAACGCATCAGCATGCACAAGCAATGCAGATGTATGACAGCAAGGCTAATGGGCTATTGCGCTTGCTGGGGATTGAAGGCTGTGTGCGCTACTTCTGGCGGCCCCACCGTTCCGGCATCCCATCGGTTTGGGAGGGCGAACCGGAAAGTGCTACAGCTGTGTGGTTGTTCATCTTCTTGAGTCGACTCACAACCCCGGGCTGGAAAGGGGAGGCCATCAGAATTGAAGCGCGAGTTCGGACGTTTACGAACGATGGTGATGGATTGTTTGACAAGGTTTCACAAGGCCCACACGCACAGGGAGCATGATTTGTTTTGGAGCCTGGCTAAGATAACTGGTTTTGGTATGTTTGGGATTGTTTTGGTATATTCTTGCACTTTGTCGATGACACAATGATGGTGCATTGTTGCATATAGGAAAACTATGGAAACTGGTTCCGTGTTTTTGTTGTTTTGGGGCAATGACTGCAGTTGGTACACCTGCGCTCCACAAAAATACATGAGACATCAGTAACACGCGTTGCTTTTGTCGCGCATGCTTACGGCAAGTCTTGCGTGTAGATTTGCAATGCACACAGTGCGCGTGGATGTTGGTCATCCAAGGAATCGATAGGCAAGAGTTTCACAATGACCTAATGGCTGTAGTAGAGGGTTGTTGTATTTTTTGTAATGTATAGAGTGATCGCAGTTGCAGCTTTCGTGGGAAGATTTGTTAATGATGGTTCATGATTCCAGAGCAGCGTTCACCCAACACAACCGGGAACTGCGTGTTTGGCTAGCAGTTGAACAGTTGACAGCGTGCGCCCGCTAACTGCAGAAACTGCCTCTTGGCAACTGCCTCTTTGGCAAGCTGTTGAACAGTTGGCGGATGTTGGCGGCTTTGACAACTGCAGAAACTGCCTGCTTGGCAAGCAGTTGAGAGGTTGATGCACCGCTGGCCGGGTGCAGACGCGCAGTAGGGGCGTCCTTGGGGCCAACGCATCAGCATGCACAAGCAATGCAGATGTATGACAGCAAGGCTAATGGGCTATTGCGCTTGCTGGGGATTGAAGGCTGTGTGCGCTACTTCTGGCGGCCCCACCGTTCCGGCATCCCATCGGTTTGGGAGGGCGAACCGGAAAGTGCTACAGCTGTGTGGTTGTTCATCTTCTTGAGTCGACTCACAACCCCGGGCTGGAAAGGGGAGGCCATCAGAATTGAAGCGCGAGATCGGACGTTTACGAACGATGGTGATGGATTGTTTGACAAGGTTTCACAAGGCCCACACGCACAGGGAGCATGATTTGTTTTGGAGCCTGGCTAAGATAACTGGTTTTGGTATGTTTGGGATTGTTTTGGTATATTCTTGCACTTTGTCGATGACACAATGATGGTGCATTGTTGCATATAGGAAAACTATGGAAACTGGTTCCGTGTTTTTGTTGTTTTTGGGCAATGACTGCAGTTGGTACACCTGCGCTCCACAAAAATACATGAGACATCAGTAACACGCGTTGCTTTTGTCGCGCATGCTTACGGCAAGTCTTGCGTGTAGATTTGCAATGCACACAGTGCGCGTGGATGTTGGTCATCCAAGGAATCGATAGGCAAGAGTTTCACAATGACCTAATGGCTGTAGTAGAGGGGTGTTGTATTTTTTGTAATGTATAGAGTGATCGCAGTTGCAGCTTTCGTGGGAAGATGTGTTAATGATGGTTCATGATTCCAGAGCAGCGTTCACCCAACACAACCGGGAACTGCGTGTTTGGCTAGCAGTTGAACAGTTGACAGCGTGCGCCCGCTAACTGCAGAAACTGCCTCTTGGCAACTGCCTCTTTGGCAAGCTGTTGAACAGTTGGCGGATGTTGGCGGCTTTGACAACTGCAGAAACTGCCTGCTTGGCAAGCAGTTGAGAGGTTGATGCACCGCTGGCCGGGTGCAGACGCGCAGTAGGGGCGTCCTTGGGGCCAACGCATCAGCACGCACAAGCAATGCAGATGTATGACAGCAAGGCTAATGGGCTATTGCGCTTGCTGGGGATTGAAGGCTGTGTGCGCTACTTCTGGCGGCCCCACCGTTCCGGCATCCCGTCGGTTTGGGAGGGCGAACCGGAAAGTGCTACAGCTGTGTGGTTGATTCATCGTCTTGAGTCGACTCACAACCCCGGGCTGGAAAGGGGAGGCCATCAGAATTGAAGCGGGAGTCTGGACCTTCATATTGCGATGGACTTCTGGACAACACCTTATGACAGGAACAACAATTTGGTGTTCGACGGGAATGCGTGTGTTTTGCTGTTGATGACGCAACGATGCGTGGAAAACTAGTTTTTTAATGTTTTTTAAAATTATGATAATATGTTTGTTCATGTGTTTTCAATATTGCTTTGCTAACAAGTATGCTTGTTACATGTTGTTACCCCAGAAGTATATAGTACCTACAGTGACCTACAGCAAGAAATTGTGAATTCAGAAGCTGTTCGTTTGTGTTCTGGCATGTTGATGCACTAAGTCTTGCATGTAAAGCTCCTGTGCACAAATTCAAGATAACTTCAGGATACTTTAGGGCATTGCTTTCAGGAGAATGTGCACACGAATTTCGTAAGGAGACGCTTATGCTTTGGTAGAGGGTTGAATATCTTCGTTGGGAGACAGCGTATGATCATGCGCGATATGCGAGTGATCCTTTTGCCAGAGCAGCGTCCACCCAACAACTCAATATCAAGCACATTGGTAAACGGCTTATCTGGCAGGTAGCTCTCCAGTTTGAATGGTAGTTGATGCACCGCTGGCCGGGTGCAGACGCACAGTCGAGGGGCGTCCTTGGGGCCAACGCATCAGCATGCACAAGCAATGCAGCTTGTGCATGCTGATGTATGACAGCAAGGCTAATGGGCTATTGCGCTTGCTGGGGATTGAAGGCTGTGTGCGCGCAGCCGTGTAGTTGATTCATAGTCTTGAGTTGACTCACAACCTCGCTGGAAAGGGGAGGCCCACTCGAAGTACAAACTAGAGCCTTCGAGGCAACGATATGCTGATGTTTGCTTCACAAGAAAATGCCTGTGGTGCGTCAGCCAAGCCGTAACCACATTAATATAATACAATACTATTTGTGTTTTTGTTTCTATTTTAATTGATGTTTATTTTATATACAATTGATATGTGTGTTTGTGTTGTCTGTTTTAAAAACAAACATGTTTGATGATTTTAATGGTCGTGGTACCCCATTCAAACCTGAAGGAGTTGTTGTGGTCGTGTTTTTTGACCTTGTGATACCCGGCCACCTCAGCATGTCATCATTGTTTTTGTATCTGATTGTTGTCTTTGATTTCGGAGCATGGAACCAAACAGAGAAATTTGAAATTCGAAGGTTTTTTCTCGCCATCCCCTTGTAGGTTGGGGACTGCTTGGGCCCCAGCAGCGTGATTGTTCACTGCCGAGGTTGGTGCGTTTGCAGCGACAAATGGCAGGTCAAGCTTCGGAGGTGTGCAGTGGGAACGGTTGGTCCAGAATATGGTGGATGAGCCTTCGTTTGAAGGTTTCCCAAAATTGGGGTACCCCAAAATCATCCATTTTTAGAATTTCTTAGATGGGATTTTCCGTTATAAACCATCCAGCTATTGGGGCACCCCCATTTATGGAAACCCCCATTTAGGTGTGTCTGAAAACGGACGTATAAAACCAAGATCAGCACATATCAACAAACATAAACCATATCAGGGATACCATATTATAGCGTATTGTAGAATATTATGGAATATCATGCAATATAGTCACTAATAATATTCATAATAATAATAAGAAGAAGAAGAAGAAGAATAATAATAATATATATTATATGGAATATGAATATTATGGAATATTATGGAATATTATGGAACATTATGAGGATTTCACTAAGCACATGTGAATTCCCACTGGTGTCTCAGTGGGGTGGACCCCCAACTATGTCCAACTCATTGGCCCCGCATTAAGTTCGAGGAGTCCCTGCTTTCATAGAATTTCTGCGTGCTGTATAGATCTGTATAGTATAGCTCATGTTTGAGCTATTTGAAAAAAATACGGTAGGTCATATGTTGGTAGCAATATGCATTCAACATGCAGCATGGCCCGTGGTCAAGGCCTCCAAGTCGCGCATGGAGCTCGAAGGGTTGCCTGCTGCAGCGGCTTTCACGGAAGCTCCTTGGTGAGTCCTGGGGACCTGGCACCAGAGGTTTTACTCGTAGCTGGGTTATAGTGGATTACTGGTTGGTGGTTTCAATGTGTTTTATTTTCCATAATATAATATATGGGATAAACCTTCCCATTGACTTTCATATTTTTCAAGATGGTTAAAACCACCAACCAGATTATTACTACCCATGATAAGGATAAGTAGTAAGTATTAACCAACCATACCAACCAGCATGATGGAATAAAACTTCTAACATAGCCATTTTGATAGAGAGAATATGAGAGAATCGAGAGAATTATGAAAAATCATTGGACTCTGACCCAATCGTCAGACAAACCACATTGGACTCTGGATAGGATTTTAAGGGATGATACTGATTGCTGGCTCCGGATATTTGTGTGCCGAAGCCAATATCCAGGAAGTGTGGAACCAATTTTGGATGAGAACACGTTGATGTTGGGGACGTGTGGCTCAACCATCAACCAGACTATGGACCCATGAAAATTATAGAGGTATAAAATGGAGTGGTTGGCGTGTTGAGAAAAGGCTTGCCGGGGAAAGCACTATGGGTCAAGTTTCAGATTTCCCCAGCTTGGAGATTTATTGTGGATGCAAAAAAATCCTGCACCAGTTGTAACTGTTGGTAACTACGAAACACTGTAAATACTGGGTGATTAAACATGTTATAACGGGATAACCATGGATAAACCATCTGCCAACTGCCTAGGTCCGTGGACGCTTAAAGCTGTTTCCCGAGTAGGGTGTCATGGGTCACCACGGTGTCACCAAGGAGTGGAACTTGGCTTTGAAGCTCCTGAAGACCTTCCCACATTTAGAGGTCCCATTTTGGGGATCAGGCTACTGATACCAGATTTCTAAGTTGTGAAGAGCTTATGGAAAATCCATGAAAATCCTCAGTTTTAATGGGTAAATCATCCACAAGGCATATCTATACATCACGAAAGGTAGCTCCAGAGGGGCTACCTTGAGTTTTACTTTACGAAGTAAAGGGGAGGGCGGCCAGCCCCGTTACCTGATTCTTCAGGAGATTGCTAGTCATTTTAGTACCCCCCCCAACAACAACAATGACAACCACAACAACCACAACAACCACAACAACTACAACGACAATGACAACAATAACAACAACAACACACAACAACACACAACAACACACAACAAAACACAACAACACACAACAACAAACAACAACACACAACAACACACAACAACACACAATAACACACAACACACAACAACACACAACAACACACAACAACACACAACAACACACAACAACACACAACAACACACACACAACACACACAACAACACACAAACAACACACAACAACAACAACACAACAACACAACAACAACAACAACACACAACAACACAACAACACACAACAACACACAACAACACACACAACAACACACACACAAACAACACACAACAACACACACACACACAACACACACACAACACACAACAACACACAACAACACACACATAACAACAACATCAACAACAACAACAACAACACCAACACCATCAGCAGCAGCAGCAACAACAACAACAACAACAACAACAACAACACGAACACAAACAATACCAACACCAACAACACGACCAACAACACCAACACCACCAACAAACCCAACCACACCAACAACACAAACAACACCAGAAACACTACCACCACCAACAACACCAACAACACCAATACCAACAACACCAACAACACCAACACCACCAGCACCACCAACACCACCAATACCACAACCACCACCAACCCCAACCACATCGCCGAAGCCTTTCAGTCGCTTTTACCAGACTCCCCTTCATATTTTTGGAAAGAAAATGGCCGCGTCGCTTTTACCAGACTCCACTTTATGTTTTTTTCCCTGCCCTCTCCCCTTCATTTTTTCTTCGGTTCCTTTCTTGCTTACCTACCTTTCGTGTTCCCCCTCTCAAGTTGCTAATTTTCCATAGGTCAAGTAACCAAAGGGTATGAAAGGCCTTGAAGTCAAGAAGTGAGTAGGCTACATGTGACCAGATTTGGGACCCGTGTTCGAAAAAAAAACATGCGTGTTGTGAAACATGGTTCCACAGATACGTCTGGGGTGTTCCATCCATGTGGGGCATGATGATAACAAACCCATGACGGATCCATGGTGCTGCTATATATGGTGCGCCATGGATCCCATCAATATACCCCAGTCATGTTAGCATATATACCAGCACCATGGATCCGTCATGGGAAATGATATCAATGATTGATATAAATTTGATTGGTAGATTTCAGGATTTCAGGAGCTGCCACCATAGCAGCTGAATCATACAGGCACCTTGGGCCTTTCGTGCCCAGCTCTTTGCTCTTCTGATGGAGGTGCCACCATGCGGTGCATGTTTTGAGGGGTTGGGATACCATGCCTGTGACATACCAAAAATTGTAATATTTTTGAAATTGGGATATCCAGTGGTATCCCAAAGTAATTCTTTTCCCGATGATTGGGTCACCAGTTTGGGATATGTGGGGTCAACCTTTTTGAGAAACCCCCAGTTGCCGGTGAGTCGAAGAGTCCAAGATCCAACGTGCATAGGCCTTGGACCATGGGGCAGAAGCTGAAACCCAGGCAGAGGGCTCATTTCGGGGTTCAAACATTATTTGGGGGTTTCCGAACTTGGGTGTACCCGAAAATTGGTTTATAAATGGATGATTAGGGGTACCCCTATTTCAGGAAACCCCCATTTATCATGAAGATCATGGGAGAAAAAAAATTGTTGAAAGGTGTGAGCTCATGTTACCTCGTCAAAACAGATGATAGTTGTAGAATGTTGTACTAGGGGAGTGGTACCAATAACAATTGAGATGCCTGGTGCGCACCGTGGCCGGTAGATCCTCCATTGAAATATGGGTGCACCAATGCGGAAGTATTTTCCAGGGTGACATGTGAGATAACCGGGTAAACCAATTGCTGACGGGTCGTTTGGTAGGCTAGTGTTCATTGTTTCGTTGTTTCTTTAAATGAAGCTCCAGGGTACCTAAGATTAGCCATGATATAAGGAACGTCTCCTTGACACCGGGAAGGTGACTCTTCAGAAACCTTAGGCTGCCATGGGCTCAAAACGAGCATTGGCTCGGCACGTTAGAACAGACCTCGAAAGTCCTGGAAATTAGGGGAGATCCGTCAAGCTGCCTAACGTTGAGCCAATTTTGCTTCTACCTTTGATGAATCGAAATAGTTTTTTCTGATTGTTTGTCGTCAGCTGCTGAAATTCCCAGAAGGACAGCCTTCCGATGTTTTGATGCCATCAGCGGCCAGCCGGCCAGATGCAAAAAGTGGGCACGCTCTGGAAAGCAGAAGTGGAGCACGCGAAAAGGCCTGGGCAGCCTGGGCACTGGATGTGACTGGGTAAGATTCAGCACCATGTCTCACACAAGTAGGCAGCAGGAGAGATTTCCAAAATATATAGAAACAGCATTGAAAAAACACAATTACAAGCTCTGTCATCCAAGACCCAGCATTCCAAACATTCGCGCAGTATAAACAGAAACACAAACGAGATGCAACAATTGGGTATCATTGGGTATCCCAAAACGGTTCCAGTTTGAGCTTTCAAATGGAACCGTTCATCTGACCGCCTATAGGCACACCGAAGAAGAGGAGTCTCGGAGGCGGAGTGCCGACAGCTGGATCTGTCGAAGCTGGGTCGCACTATGTCGCACTTTTGGCGCGAGCTTCTGGCAGGTGGGCCCTGCAGTTTCAAGTGCATCTCCTGCAGGACTGAGAAAAAAATCCGCAAGCTCAAGAGTGTCCACCCCAACATCCACAACACCCCTGGCAAAAGCAAAAAAAACACCCTAGGGGTGAGGGAAAAAGTTTCAAGGGGCTTTCGTTGTTTTTATTTGTTTAAAGAGACTTGCGGCTCCCTGACAAGATTTTGCTGAGCAGGGGTAAGTTGGAGAAGTTGCTTCAGTTCCCCATCAGGTCTTGTAGGATCATGGCTTAGCCAAACCGGCCCAACCCAAACTTAGAATTCAGAGAATGGGGGATACAAGTGCCCCAAGCCCATGAACAATATTGTCTTTACCTGGTGGAAGCAATTTCCATATAAATTGGCATCTATTACATATATTGTTATTTACTATCATATATGATAATTATATTGATATTGTATGTATATATATATATATCTATATCATTCATTGTCATAGGTTATCAAACTTATCATATAGTCTATATGAATAGTTTCATATACTGTAGTAGTATCCTCTATTAGCTATTGTCATTGCTAATCACATTACATTATCATCCAGTATGATAGATTAGCATTAGCATATTATATATCATCATTTATTGTCATCTATCTCTCATTATCCGTTATCATATATATATATATTTACATATATACGTGTATATATATATATATACATATTATAGATTTTACAATTGTATACATATATTTACTACTATTCTTTATATACTATATGTATAGATTGAAATGATACCCCCAAGGTTGACATGGCGCCATCATCATCAGGAGTTGGGTTTCTACCTCCTTGAAGCGATCGATGACACCCAGGTATCGCATGTACGAAAGTGGGGTATGTCAGATCCCATATTGCAATAGATTCTCAAAATTGATATATATATATATATACATATACATATACATATATACATATTGGAAATTATGGATACATTATATATATATATATAGTATGTATAATTATGTATCTGTACATGCATGTATATGATATTGATGGGCTGGGGCAGGAGGTGGGGTTGCGCGTGTATTGATGTGTATATATGCATATATATATATATATATTTATATATATGTATATTTATATATATATGTATATTTATATATATGTATATGTATAATATCATGATTTAACTAGGATACAATATGGGTTTTTGACAACCTACCAAGTAGGATACACATCCAGGAAGGGATCGCACCTTTGGTGCAATTGTGCTTGGGTCGCTATTTGGTGGTGGTTTCAAAATTGTTGGACGTTTAATCTCTATGACGGGGTTGATTGATCCAAAGGACAAATGTTTTTGATTAAAGATCAATTGAATCTACCAATGTGAGCATCATCCGTTTTGAGGTTTGATGTGTTATTCCACTGGCTTTCAGCTGTCAGCTCTTATCTTGGTTTTCGTCTTCCTCTTACCATGCGCAACAGACAAATCAATGGTCCCAAGCAGACCCAGTTGATCATGTTGGCCCCCAAAAAAATGATACGAATATGTTTTTCTGCACCAAATCGTTGTGAGACTTCCCACATGATGGGTAGGCCACTTCTTCGACCTTGCGAAGAGATGCCCAAACCTCCCTGGATGAGCTGAAGAGTGTGGAGGTTTGGTGTAAGTTTGTTTTTTTTTTCGATGGATTGTTTGGACGTGCGTCCGCGGTTGTAACCCACATGCCAATTAATTATATAGTAGGAGGTAGGGAAACTAACACGGTTGATAGAAAAGTGTGTCAAGCAAGCTCAGACTTTCTGATCAGACTTTCTCTGCGTTTGAGACAATATTGACCCTGGGATGTAGGATCTATGATCTAATGTTCCATGTTTCTAAATCATTACATTGTATCTGGGTAAATTATAACGACCTCACTGCGACCTCACTGGAATCATGGTTAATAAGGGAAATTATCCCCAAGTGGCCTTAATTCAGGTTAGTGAAATATTACAATTTGCCCAGATTGTATCGTGGGTCAAATATAGACGATCGGAAACTCAACATGTTTATTCTTCATCCAGTGAGAGGCAGCCTCCCCAGCTGTCTTGAAGAACATCGCAAGAGTTTGGAGCTAAGCGGCTAAGCGCATCCATGGCCATGGTGTGCACCATGAGAAGGAAAAGAAATGAATCCTGGATGAGGGATATGGGTACCCTCTGGTAATGACTAACATAGCTATTGAAAATGGCCATTTATAGTGGATTTCCCCATTAAAATTGGTCATTTTCAATAGCTATGTTAAATTACCAGAGGGTAATCTATACGTCCATGCTTATTTCATGCTTGTTGAGATTCTCATTTTTTTTCGTTCTGTAGTTTTTGTGTGGTACTTTTCGCACCGTTGAATTTCAATGGTATGAATTGATAGGTGTTACGCACCTGATTCAACCGGCAAGAAGAGGCTGTGCCTCAAAATGTTAAACACCCAAATGTCAACAGTAAATTCGTAGTACAATACATAGCTGGTCTATTGTCACCTCATGTTGGGTAGCAATCACCAGCACCACCAGACCGCTCCTACCCTAGATGTCCTGAGATGTCCTGAGGATCTGGAAGAATGCAACCAGGGATATTCCTTGCTTCAAAAGCAGCGGCCAACAGGGCTGGGACCACCGATCTTGAGGGATTTTGGTCACTACATGTGGGGTCGAGCATGTTTGAACCGGATCTGCGGGGCTGTAACTCTGGAAGATGGATAGAAACGGGATTTTGACACAGTCTTTGTGTATCTTTGTGTTAAACCATAATTAAATAGGTCGGGTTTCGATCATGAGCATTCGATGTTTCAGCATGTTTCAACCAGTTTTTGTTTATCCTCGCACACAAGATATGGGATGCAAACCAGCAAACATGGGGGATTTAGCTTCAGTAATATGGATACAGATATACCCTCTGTTAATCTCTGTTAAACATACAAAAAACTATGGAAAATTACCATTTTTAATTGGTAAATCCACTATCAATGGCCATTTTCAATAGGTATGTGAGTTTACCCAGAGGGTAAGTATCAGATATCAGCCTGCCCTTTGGTCGAAAGTAATTGGCCCCAGATTATCGAAGGAGGGCAGTGCTTGAATCCCACAACCCCCCAAATAAACATAAATAAACCATAATAAACCAATGGGGGCAAGCAGAAAACCAAGAAAATTTCAATATAAAGAAGCTTGTTCGCACAGGATAGTTTCCCTAACCAATGTAGGTGACATTCGAGGTTTGTCAGATTTGATTCTTCTTGTTGCAAGACTTCAGGAGGTTTGGATTTCAAGCCTACTGTAGAACCAGCAAACATGGTAATTTCCTCGTAGGGCAATGGATTATATAACTAAATTGCTCGGTCTCTGCTACTGTGACGGATTTTTTGTTGGTCAATGATTCGGACCGATATCCGATCATATTCCGATCATTTCAAGCAAGCATCCAGTTTGGACATGTTTGGACCAATTCAGGATGCAATTGGAATCTACTGCCCCTTCACTGCAGCTGCAGCATTTTGGCTGGACATGGCATTACAAACACACAGCGTGAATGTGGGGGTTCCATGGAATTTGGACAGCATCTGGCATTGATTGGGAATCTTCGAATGGGACATTCCGCAGTTTTTGGGACATTTCGACAGCCTTGGCCATTTGTTTGAATGGAACATTCCGCAGTCTTGTGAACAGAAGAGAGGTGGAGGTGCAGCTAGAAACAGCTAGAAACAAGGAACACATTTGAGTAAACAGAAGGTTCAAGATGATTTAAGTACAGTATAGTACAGTATCTTTGTATATATCTTTGTCGGGTTCGACATTGATCAATCCCACAGCACCGAAATCAGCAACGACACCAGGTCGGTTTCGCAGCGATTTCCAGCGATTTCCCCCGCTGTCATGGCGTTGGCACAGAATCTTGAGGAGAAATGCGTTCCAAGTTTAAAGAGTCATGGAAATTGTCAAGGAAATCATGAGAGCATTTGTTGAAGTGGGCCAGTTTGGGGGTCGTTGTACCTTTGATCCTGTTTGTGAAATTCACTCTATAGGCCTCAGTTGGAAGAGGCCGTTCTCCTAGTTTGGCGTGACGAGGGCCGACGTTCAGCCAACGCAAGCCTGCGCATGCATCGCAAGGATCCCAAATTCGAAGTTGTGAGGATCGGCAACTCCTACTACAGGCTAGGCTCACTTTTAACCACTGGTTTCATTGGTTTTGAGCTTTGTCAATTTGGATTTATGTGCTTCCGGGGTCATGGGCGGTTGTTATGCGGCTTTGAAGCCATGGAAGCTTGGATTTGGGAATTTCAGCGATGCCGCCATGCCCGGAAAGTCGCAGGAAGCTTGTTGTCGATGAGAACCTCAAGTTCAAATGCGAAGAGTGCTGCTGGCCAAGTTCAACACGCCTGGGGATGATACGTTTCGGAAATGCCAAGTGGTGCCTCATCATTAGCTAAGTTGGTTTATGGTAACTATACGTATACCTATAACAAGTTGGTTTATGGTACAGTTACTATTATGCTAAAAGCCAACAAGGTGTTGTGGTGATTATACCTATAAAGTATATCTATAGTTAGCGGTTCGATACACCAACCGACATAACAGGGGCATATCACCTTGTATATCATCACTGTTACAACTATGTCCCATTAAGTGCCCTATTTCCCCCAACAAAATATCGGAGCTTCTCAGAGCGTTTTTGCTTCACCAGTCAGCAACGCAGGAATCGCAGATACTACGAGGAAGAGGAGGAAGACGAGGAGGGCGAGTTGGATGATCAGCTCGCGTACGAGGCGTGCTTTGGCTGGTAGATCACCAGTAGATAATTGGATACAGAATGATATATAGATCATGAAAGGAATTGCATGGAAATAAAGGGTGTGCGTGTGTGTGTGTATTATATATATATACATATACATTATGTATACATTGTGTATACAGATGCATACAATAAATAGAAAATCATGAATACATGGTGCCAGTAGCACCTGAGTTCACCCCCATCGACCTTCGGTGGGGTTCATGAAAGATGTTGGACACACGGTGGACTCTCAGGGATACCAGGGGAATCCAGGGGATAGTTTTTGTCAAACCCATGGACACCTCTATAGTATATGATATTATCATATATTACTGTATATAGAAATAGATGGATAGAAAAACCAAAAGCCAGGATTATATAGATTATATAGATTATATAAAACGGATTGTCATTAACATGGATACTTTCAATAATCATGATTATAAACCTATAGAAATATCATATTTACCTCATACTCAGCATCCTCACAAGACAAGCCAAGCTGGGATAATCCCCATCGACCCGGCCATGCCTAATTCTCAAAGTAAAAGGGAGGCTCAATGGGGCTCAAGTATGTCTATCATCCATGTTTGCTACTTGCAATAATAATAAGTCTCATGTATATTTTGGATATGAAACACTAACTTAATCTAATTAATATATACGTATATATATATATATATCAATGTCTCCCCTAGCTGGTATGATGATTCCCCATGAATCCTACAGCATCTGCTGGGAAGCAGCCGAGCCTTTTCTCTGGTTCACCGTGGGAAAAATCTCAAAGGGCGACGAGTGGGTCTTCCGGATGGAGATGCCGGCGATCTTCCACAAGTTCATCGTGGGATCCAGAGCCGGGGGATCCCAACAGATCCCAGGTGTTTCACCCCATGGCCTCCCAGGGGAGAAGGCTGTCCCAGAGCCCAACCTTTTTTGAGGTGAGTGAATTCTATGATATTATGCAACTGTAATATTAGATATACGCTAACTTACCCAGATTGCTGGATGTTCAAGACCTATGTTAATGTACAATGTACATGTAGGTGTGAGTAGGACAAGCAACCAATGAGGAAAACTGCAGCCATGAGATGATGTGAGTATGTGTAATTTACATTAGATAATTTTCTATAGCTTCTTACAATCTTGGCAATCATGTCTTATTGGGATCGTTCCCAGGGATCCGTCGTGGTCTTGTGAGGCCAGGAATAAGCAAAAGCTGGAGATGGAGTCGTCTCCCAAGTAGGGTTTGCCTCATCCCAAAAAGCAGACATGGATCGATCGCAATCCCCCAAATTCAATGGAGCTAGCTGGGAAATGGTTTAGCAAAATCCACTATAAAATTCATAAAAACTCTATAAATGATGGATTTTTCCCATTGCGATGCGATGTTTACCGGATGGTACTCCAGCTCTACCCGATGATCTCCAAGTCCCCAGGTCGGGCTGCAAGATCGTGGTGCCCAAACGGGAGGACGGTTTCGTCGCGGAGATGTGATCAGCATCGGGTAAGATGGGGCCCAAATCCGGATGATCCATATGATTTCCCCCATGTCCCACAAATTTGGCGTGTTTTTGGGGAATGATTTTGCAGATTTTTTCCCCAAATTCGGATGACCGCAGATTTATCCGATTGAATTGAGTGGTTTCAAAGATGTCTTACTTCCCAGCCCTAGAAGTTGAGATATGATGCAGGTGGCTTTTATATTTTGCGCAGAACGGAAGACCGCCAGGAGCTGGAAGATGCAGTTTACCTCCGGGCACGACAAAAGCAGCAGATCTACAGCTGCAAGGCGTCGATGGTGCGATGTAAAGCGGCCATGAAATGATGAAGTGATTGGTGGTTCCAAACATTGTTTATTTGGGAATTCAATTTTGGGTACCATTACCAAGTGGAATATACCATATATAATATAGGTTGGTATTTGAAACCATAATGGTTGGGTAATATTATACAATATATGGGATAATCCTTCCCATTGACTAATATTTTTCAAGATGGTTAAAACCACCACCCAGTGAAACATTGTGAAGCCTACGAAGAGGGGCTTCTAAAAATGGGGGATCCCCAAAGAACCCGTCGACTTTGAGGAATGGGGCAACCCCATTTTAGGAAGCCTCCAACTTCTGTGACATATTTGTACAAAAACATGTCCGAACAAATTTCCTGGAAGTTGCAGGCTCTTATTGAGCTGTTGTGCGAAAAGGAGGAAGCCAAGTTGGAGGAGCCATCTGTGAAGGTTTCAGCCAACTCTCCATCATCCAAGAATTAAGCAACCAATTTCGGCCGGATGTGGCCAGCCTGTCTGTATCCTAAGAATTCCCAAGATTTCTTTATGAAGGCTTGTAATCTGTATCTTTCCAGATCTAGTGGTTTTGGGGCTGATGGATGAAGTTTGGGATGGATCCTTTCACTTGCAGTACTTAGTAAAGTCACGGGCCGCTAATAGCCATGATGAAGTCCCCGATTCGTGTGTTTCCCATTGGCCCGTAACGAATCGGGTTGTGAATCCCTTCCCCCATGAAGACATCCAATAGATTCCATCAGGGTCTTTAGTCCTTGGGGGGCCACAAACCTATACCATTACCATTTTTTACCATCGCCCAAAACAAACTTGGAGGATGATTGAATATGATTGAATCCCACAAAAAGAGTTCAAAATAGTGTTATATCATGTTATATCTATTTTGTATGTTTTTCTTGGATGGTGTCTTCATGTTTCGTTGGCATTGTACCACCAGTCCCCCAGCCCTGGTACCCACGGCCGCTGCCGCTGCTCAGTACACGCACTTCATCTCGGTGCCCTTGGCGCACGACGACAAGTTCCGGCAGTTGGTGGATCAGTTTCGAGAGGCGGACACCAACCCCTCCCCCTAAACGCGTACCAAATGCTTATTATTTGGGGTTAGATATGGTTAGATGATGTTAGATGGTTACAGCTGCTTTTAGTCTTAGGGGGATAGGAATTATCATGATTATTGAGCAATCATGTTTTTTTTCGCATGTAGAGATGATCATTGAGCGATGTTAATATATCGATTCGCATGAAATCAGGTTAAATCCCTGGCATCCCACATGGCAGCCATGTAACTTGACGGTGGCACATGGTGGCACCATGCACCCCTTGACCGTAGGATGTGGTGTTGCAGCGCTTCACGGGTATCGATGCCTCAATCTTCATGCCCTCCAGGTGGAGAAAGTGATGCTGTCTGCAGGAGTTTTTTCGGAGAAGAATTGGCATTTGCCCCAAAAAATCTAAAAAATATGATCAAGGTCCAAGGTAAGGATGTCAATGGGTAGGGAGAAGATTTGCGGGCGAAACTCCCGCAAAACTCGGGAGTCTACCAACAAAAGTTGATGGCATCAGCTTTGAGTGTCCATTGTGGCCAAGAAGGCACGTACGATATTGGTGTTACATATGTGTGTTATTCAGTCTGTCCTTTCCAAGAGTATTTTGTGCTATCAGACGAATCAGATGTTGCTTTTTTTACCATTAACCTTGCATTTTTGCTCGCTGGGTCACAAGTCGTCACCTTGGTTTTTGTTGATGCATATTGTTGTAGCGTACTGTAAATCATAGGTTCTTCTTGGTCAAGTAGACCACAACACTGGGGGATGCAGTTGAGGCTATCAATGGGTACAACCGTGGTACCTCCATAAATATCCATAAATCCATAAGGTGGGAAATATAATCATCCCTAACATAGACCCGGGCAAGCCGGCGGCGGAAGTTTCCCAAACATAAATGACCTATAGTTCAAAGACACCCTGTCCCGACCGTGTCCTTCCCTCGACACTCCACACCTCACACTGCACACTGCACTCTTCGCACTCCAAACTTCAAACTTCACACTCCACACTTCACACTCCACACTTCTCACTTCTCACTGCTTCCTTCACACTCCAAACCTCACACTTCACACTTCACACTTCACACTGCACACTGCACACTTCACAGTCCACACTTCACACTTCACACTTCACAGTCCACACTTCACACTTCACACTTCACAGTCCAGACTTCTCACTTCTCACTTCGCACTTCACACTTCACACTTCACACTCCACATTTCACACTTCTCACTTCTCACTGCTTCCTTCACACTCAAAACTTCACACTTCACACTTCACACTCCACATTTCACACTTCTCACTTCTCACTGCTTCCTTCACACTCCAAACTTCACACTTCACACTTCTCACTTCGCACTTCACACTCCACACTTCACAGTCCACACTTCACACTTCTCACTTCACACTTCTCACTTCTCACTGCTTCCTTCACACTCCAAACTTCACACTTCTCATTTCGCACTTCACACTCCACACTTCACAGTCCACACTTCACACTTCTCACTTCTCACTGCTTCCTTCCCACTCCAAACTTCACACTCCAAACTTCACACTTCACACTTCTCACTTCGCACTTCACACTCCACACTTCACTCACACTTCACACTTCACACTGCGCTCTTCGCACTCCACACTGCACAGTCCACACTTCACACTTCTCACTTCACACTTCTCACTTCTCACTGCTTCCTTCACACTCCAAACTTCACACTTCACACTTCGCACTTCACACTCCACACTTCACAGTCCACACTTCACACTTCTCACTTCTCACTGCTTCCTTCCCACTCCAAACTTCACACTCCAAACTTCACACTTCACACTTCGCACTTCACACTTCTCACTGCTTTCTTCACACTCCAAACTTCACACTTCTCACTTCGCACTTCACACTCCACACTTCACAGTCCACACTTCACACTTCTCACTTCTCACTGCTGCCTTCACACTCCAAACCTCACACTTCACACTTCACACTCACTCTTCGCACTCCAAACTTAAACTTCACACTCCACACTTCACACTTCTCACTTCCCACTACTTCTTTCACACTGTACACTTCACACTGCACTCTTCACACTCCACACTTCACACTGCACCCTTTGCACTCCAAACTTCACACTCCACACTTCACAGTCCACACTTCACACTTCTCACTGCTTCCTTCACACTCCAAACTTCACACTTCACACTGCACTCTTCACGCCCCACATTTCACACTACACTCTTCACACTCCACAGTTCATCTCATCTGAGCTCTTCTCACCTTATCCCAGCTCTCATCTCTTCTCATTTCGTCCCTTCTCATATGTCATCTATTAAGCTTTCATTAATCAATTCCCAGCACTACTACTAATCACTGTCGAACCCTTGATGCACCTACTCCAATACGATTTACGAAGTCCAGTTGCAAAAGACAATAGTATTGCGCATGCAGCCGCGGCACCAAGCAACCTTGACGCAGCCATTACAATGCGATCTGCAGAGACTGAGTTGCAAAACACAATATAGAACTACGCACAACGGCGTCGGAAATTGTAGCTCCAAAACCGGATCTCGACGCCAGAGCGAAAAAAAGACGATTTTGAAACACTTTTTAAAAGAATTTTTAGAAGGAAAATCGCTGGCGCCAAAATGGAGAAAATCTGCTGACAAATCAATGTCGCAGCCTTCATGCAGCCACTCCAATACGATTTACGAAGTCCAGCTGCAAAAGACAATAGTATTACGCATGCAGCCGTGGCAAGAAGCAACCTTGACGCAGCCATTACAATGCGATCTGCAGAGACTGAGTTGCAAAGCACAATAGAACTACGCGCAACGGCGTCGGAAATTGCAGCTCCAAAACCGGATCTCGACGCCAGAGCGAAAAAAAGATGATTTTGAAGCACTTTTTAAAAGGATTTTTAGAAGGAAAATCACTAGCGCCAAAATGGAGAAAATCTGCTGACAAATCACTGTCGCAGCCTTCATGCAGCCACTCCAATACGATTTACGAGATCCAGCTGCAAAAGACACGACGACTAGTATTACGAATGCAGCCACAGCACGAAGCAACCTTGACGCAGCCATTACAATGCGATCTGCAGAGACTGAGTTGCAAAACACAATAGAACTACGCACAACGGCGTCGGAAATTGTAGCTCCAAAACCGGATCTCGACGCCAGAGCGAAAAAAAGACGATTTTGAAACACTTTTTAAAAGGATTTTTAGAAGGAAAATCAATAGCGCCAAAATGGAGAAAATCTACTGACAAATCAGTGTCGCAGCCTTCATGCAGCCACTCCAATACGATTTAAAAAGTCCAGCTGCAAAAGACAATAGTATTACCAATGCAGCCACAGCACGAAGCAACCTTGACACAGCCATTTACATTGCGGGAACGATCCTACAGTTGCAAACCACAATGGAATTCCATTGGCAACTCATCCGCCAGCAACACTTGCAATCCCATTTACATTGAGGGAACGATCCTAGAGTTGCAAATCACAATGCAATTCCATCAGCAACTCGTCCACCAGCAACACTTGCAACCCCATTTACAATGCGGAACCGATCCGAGAATGATCCGAGGATGATCCGAACATATCCGAGAATGATCCGACCACACACGAGACCGTCTTGCACCCGTCGCACCGCAGAGGTAGATCATCGAGGTTCGGGGACGCACTTTGTATGGAAAAACATAGGGTTTCGTGCATCTGCTATCTCTCAAAAACGCATTTCGTGCGAGACTTCCTCCAAAACTCCATCGGCAACTCCTCCACCAGCACCACTTGCAATGCCATTTACAGTGAGGGAACGATCCTAAAGTTGCAAATCACAACGCAATTCCATCAGCAACTCGTCCACCAGCAACACTTGCAACCCCATTTACAATGCGGGAACGATCCTACAGTTGCAAATCACAATGGAATTCTGTCGACCGCACATGCACGAAAACACTTGAAACCCCATTTACAATGCGGAACCGATCCGACCATGATCCGAGAATGATCCGACCACACACGAGACCGTCTCGCACCCGTCGCA